ACCTTATTATTCAAATCACTGATTCAATCCTCTGCTTCATCTAACCTGCTATTGATTTCTTTTAGTGTATTCTTCATTCAGATACTGTATTTTTCATTTCTGACTGGTTCTTTTTTATATTTTCTGTCCTTTTTAATACTTAATATCTCTTGGTTTAAGTTTTCACTTATTTCATCCTTTTTCCCTAAGTTCTTTGAGCATCCTTATAACCATTGTTTTGAACTCTGTATCTGGTAGATTGCTCGCCTTCATTTCATTTAGTTCTTTTTCTGGGGATTTCTTCTTTCACTGGGGGCATGTTTCTTTGTCTCTGCATTTGTGCTGCTTCTCTGTATTTGTTTCTGGGTATTAGGTAGATCTCCCAGTCTTAGTCGAGTGACCTTATGTTGTAGGTGTCCTGTGTGGATCAATGGCGCAGCCTCCCTGATTACTTCAGTTAGGTTCTCCAGGAATGTTCCTTGTGTAGGTTATGTGAGCCCTCCTGTTGTAGTTTAGTTTTGATTACTGTTGGCCCATTCATGGGTGGCTTGGCTGACTATGAGGGTTCACCTCAACCGCAGTGTACAAACTGCTTTGTGCTGGCTTACCCCATGAAGTGTAAGTAACCCCAGTGGGGTCTGGTGCACTCCGTTTGGGTGTGCCATTTGTAGAACTAATTGGGTCATGCTCTGATGTGGTCTGAAGCTCACCACTAGGTATGTTGGTTCTGAGGTCTCTTGGAAGAGGCTCTGGTGCAGGTCAGTGTCACACACTGCCTGTGGCCGGTCCTGGGCTACCTGTTTGTAGCTACAAAGCAATCCACAGTTTGTGGCTGCCTCTGCTGAGCCTGTGTGCACACACCTTCTTATTTTTATGGATTTACTTTATTTAAAAAATTTCTTTAAGAGATTTTTCATTGTTTTATTATTCACTTATGTTGAGAATTAATGTAACTAGCTAGCTATGCAATTTCATGTAATAAGTTTTTATTGCAGCTTTACCCTGTGCAGGCCTCTATTAATAGGCACTATAGAGGTTAGGATATATAAAACACAGTCATTGCCCTCAGGGACATTACAGTATTGAGGCAACATAAGACATAAATAACCATGATTCAAAATAGAGAAAGATAAATGCTGTGGAAGAACTGAGGTCAGAGGGGAAAGAGAGATCTGAATGAGAAAGACTTCACGAGAGAGATGGCATTTAAACAGATCTTCACAAATGTGTAGGGCTTTGTTAGGGAGAGGCAGTAGTTAAGGACATTATGTGCAGGCAGAAGAAGCAGCACGACAAGAAGGTATCAAGAAAGCTTGTTCAGATTAATCTGCTTAAATGAAAATACATGGAAATAAAAAGTTGGAGTGGTAAATTGAAGCCATACCAAGAAGGCCTTTGACTGCCATTGTAAAGAGTTTACTTATAGTTCAGAAAATACTGAGGTGCTAAGTAGAAAAGTAATATAGTTATTTTCATGCTTTAAGCTAATTAATCTGGTAACAGTGGGAAGGATGGTTTGGATAGGGAAGAGAAGAAATTTAGAGAGAGCAGTTAGGAGATTATAATAGTAGTTGAGATGAGAAACACTGAAGGCTTGAACAATATGGTCCCAGTGGAAATAGGAAGGGACAAGTGTAAGGACCATTTAGAGTAGACTCTGAACTTAGCAATGGTTTGAAGAAGCAGCCCAGCGTGGTTGTTAAAAGCAGGGACTTTACCCAATTTATTAAAAATTCAGGAGCAAATTTCAGACTCTGCCATTTCCCGCTATGTGACCTTAAAAAGTTGCTTGTCATTCTATGCCTCAGTTTCCCAAGCTGTAAAATGGATATAATTATAGGATTTTATGATGTTTAAATTAGTTAATAATTGTGTAGCACTTAACAACAGTGCTGTGTAGCACTAGGTAAGTGTTTGTTATATAAAGTAATATATAAAGTATATATATAAAGTAATGAGGAAGAGGGGGACAGCGATGCATTAGAGAAGACTCCATTCTTGAGTCAGAAGCTGAGAGAATAATTAGTAGGCATTGACTCAGGTACTTCAAAGGAAGATTGGATCTGGATCCCAGGAGAAAGGCTGGGACTAAAGAGAGTTGAGGAATCATCTGTGTAGAGGTAGAGAAGAGAAGTGGTTCATAGCATACCATCTTTTAGGATTTCCATATACTTCTGTGAGTACTTACTTTGTTCAAAGTGCAAAGAAGAGCCCAAGGATATTTCTTGCGTAGTAGCTTTACAAAATTTATAGGATTATAATAGCATTTTGTATTGGCTTCTAAAGAACATATGGGAAAAATAACCAAGGAAATTAAGACTTTCTTGATTTTAAGAGGCAAATGGTATATTTCGTTATACATACTTTAATATATAAAATAATGCGAATATTGATACTAATGTGAGTAAAAGACTGTGTCGATGAAGTTCCAGATATTTGCGTGAGAGTATCTCTGAGCACTTGGAATCCTCCAAAGTCGAATGGTATTTCTTTAAAGGTGGAGAGGAGGGGTAACATGAGAGCTCCTAAGCTGGAGTACTAATAGTGAGATACATCTTCCCTCTCGAAAACAAAAAGGAAGCAGAAGAGCCCCACTGCTGGAGCTCTTCTGTAGTGCTGAGCGTGCCATTTAAATATTTATGACTTACCTACATCCCAAAAGACTTTGTTAGTTCCCTCAGTGGTTGCAAGAATCTTAAAAAGCAGACCCCAAAACCTACCATGAAGTGACTGTCACCATTTAAAATATTATTCCTCTATCTTTACCGAATTCATGGTAAGTTGGTGTCGGAGTCCAGGGTAGATGAGAGAGTTGTCAAGGACACTGTGTTACCATTGGTCTGGCACAGGTGGCCCTGCCCTGTAAAAAGTCACAGCTAATCAGAGGCAAGGGCTGGACAGAGCAGCACATCCTAGTAGCCATGTTGGTGTCTCACTTTGGCAGGGCCCCCTCAGGTAATGCTTTCACCTAGTAACGGCCACTTTCATGCAGGGCAGTGTAATAACCTTGAGAAACGGAAATCACATTGAGCTTTATCCTTTGATGAAAAAACTAATGATGAGGGTGAGAAGAATGTACCAAAAGTACTTCATTACAAAATTTAACTTTACATCGTGATATGGTGGCTAAAAATATTAAATTACTAATGCTCGAAAGAAGAAAAAAGTGGTTTAGCCTCAAAAGGGGCCGAGGATGGAAGCCTACGGAATGATGATATAAGGAAAGCCTTTTGCCCGGCCGACGTGGCTCAGCGGCTGAGCGTCGACCTAGGATCCAGGCCATTGGGGTTCGATTCCCGGTCAGGGCACATGCCCGGGTTGCGGGCTCGATCCCCAGTCAGGAGCATGCAGGAGGCAGCCGATCAATGACTCTCTCATCATTGATGTTTCTATCTCTCTCTCCCTCTCCCTTCCTCTCTCTGAAATCAATAAAGATATTTTTTTAAAAAAGAAAGAAAAGCTTTTTTTTAAAATCATGCTCAGAATAGTATACAATGTATTTTTTTCTGTCTTAACTATCCATATAATAATCCAACACTTTGCTATTGCTATTTTATTCTTTATCTCATGCAGTATATCCAATGATGTAGGAATATCCCAAATATAAAATATATTTTAATATATTCAAAGTATATTCAAATACCAAGTACATTACTAACATAGCTCCCCACCATTGAAAACTATCAACCTGAAATTCTAACTGGGAACCTTAGATAGTGTCTGAAAACAAAACTCTATTCACTTTGCAGTCTAATTCCTTGTTAAATTCTTGTGATCATTTTAAGACTTTAGAAAGAAAAAGAAAGGAGTTAGCATTACTGAGTGAAGGATTTTACATGTTACCTTTTACACTAACTTCACTCTAAAATAGATATCATGCCCTTTTTTATAGGTGATGAAAATAAGATTCAGAAGGGTTAAGTAACCTAGTGAAGTTCGCACAATTAGTAAGTGATGGAGTCAGGAATTAATCTCAGGTCTTGGGAGAGGAGAAGCTGGCATTATACTATTTGTTCCTTGTTGTTTGTTTGAATTTAAAATTCACTATCCTATACCCACTGACGTGATTATGGCAGAAAAAATACAGACCATTCCTCTGCCTTTTAGAAACTAGTTTGATGTTTGTTCCCTCAGATGTTTACAATGTCTGTTATGTTCAAAAGGCATCTAATGAATTATTCTGCTGGTTTTAAAGAGATGGGAAGGAAAGGATTATCCAAGTTTCATCTTTAAAATCATTCCCTGCCCACTGTCAGAAAGGAAGATTTTTTTTAAAATGATTTTTTAAAGGAAGAGTTTGTGATGCTTGTTTACTTAGAGTACTTAACAAAGGAGACAGGAAAAATGGACTTAGCACGTCAGGAGCCTTCTTCAGTAGGCTAACTTCAGGAACTGAATTGCTCGGCAATAGCACCTCTTTCCACTGGGCCAGCAAGCTGTTCGGGCTGTGTGTCTCCTTCAAAGAAAGACATTCCTATCACCTCCAAGTATCTGCTGCTGCTTTTTTCTCCTTCACACATACCCTTGCCAAGAATTATATTCCATCTTAAACACACACACACCGCCCGCACACAAAAACAGACAGATAAAGAGCACTTACTGCAGTGTCCTTTGTATATAGTTAGTTGTGGGTGTGTATCTATCCCTGGTTCAATTTTGAGCTCTTAGAGGCAGGGACTTTTCTTTCTCTTTCCAGGATAATATACATAAGATTATAGACAATATATGTTTGTTGAATTGAAAAGAAAAGAGCATTCTTAGATTCCTTACGAAGACTAGCTTTCTTGTCATCTCTGTGACAGTTATGTGCCTCGTCATGGAACAGGAATGAAATTCTGTGCAACCCGTCAGAATGATGGATTGCTCAGACGGCTTCAAATCAGTACCTTTCCTGGAGTTTCCAACAAATAACAGTTTATTCTTTAATTGTATCAGGAAGAATGATTTTATTCCAAGAAGTTTGTGTGTTTATATAGAAAGTATTAATGTTCCTAAACTGTCTGTTCTTGCCGTATTTACAGGCACAAACCGTGGGTTTCCCGGTGACCGCGCCTTCGCCAAACGTGCGGCTGATGCGATCCGCGCTCGTCCCGCAGGCGCCGGCCGGAGAGGCCTTTTCCTTCGCGGCGCCCGGCTGCCCAGCGGAGGCGGCCTTCATGGAGGAGGAGTGTGTGGACACGCCCAAGGTACGGCCTGCGGGGCGGCCGGAGGGTTCAGGTGGCTCCGCAGGTGCTGGACTGGGACTCTGTTGAACTCTGTCATGTGCTCACGTCACTCAGGAGTGCTGTGTGTGAGCGGAAGAGCCTGAGAAAAGTATTCAGGGCTGAACTCGGCTCTCATCACCGCCTTGCCATTACCACCCTTACGTAACTTGTCAGATGTACTTTTCAAAGTCTTTCCTTCTCTTTCCTCAACCAGATCCTTCTCTCTTCAAGCTTCTGGATCCCACTTAGGTTTTATACTTTTTAAACAAATTGTAATTCTGCAAACATCTATAGCTGTGGTGCTGACGTGCAAGCTCTGCCTGTGCTGACTGCCTCTCTTCCTCAGTGCTGCAGCTGGGCCATGACGAGCTGTCTGTCTGGCCTTTTGTCCTGTTTGGACATGCTTAATGGAGATAAGTGTATCCTGGTATACTACCTAAGGGTGGCTTTCAGGATGTGGAGGTGACAGCTTCTCTCATTTCATGAATATTTACTTCTGATATATGTTTCATATACTTTGCATCAAGTGGTAATACAAAGGATCATAGAAATGGGCAGGTCTTGGGTTTTTTTGTTTTGTTTTGTTTGTTTTTATTGGTTTCAGAGAGAAGAAGAGAGAGAGAGATAGAAACATCAGTGATGAGAGAAAGTCATTGGTCGGCTGCCTCCTGCACGCCCCCGACTGGGGCTTGAGCCAGCACCCTGGGCATGTGCCCTGACCGGGAATCGAACCTGCAACCTTTTGGTGCATGGGATGACGCTCAGCCAGCTGAGCCACACCAGCCAGGGCCTGACTAGCTTCTCTGAACCTCTGTTTTCTCTTGTGTAATATGAGGCTACCGACTTTATGAGACCATTGTGAGGATTAAGCAAGATAATGTGTGTGAGATTCTGGCCAAATTGTAGGTACTTAACAAATTCTGGTTTCCTGCCTTTTTAGCCTGTTTAGGTAATAAAAGGTGAGTCAGACATTATCTACCCCAAAGTTTATAGAGTAGCAGAAAAGACATGGATAACTAAAGGCCATGTGCCCGGTTCTGAATAAATTGATAAAATATTTATTTTTATCCTTTATTTTTTTCACCCCTCCTTCAGCCCCCTCCCCTTTGGCAACCATCAGCTTGCTCTCTGTATCTGTGGGTTGGTTTTGTTTTTTCTTCACTTCTTCCCATTTTTTTAGATTCCACATACAAGTGAAATCATATGGTATTTGTCTCTGTCTGACTTATTCACTTAGCAGAATACCCTCTAGGTCCCTCCATGTTGTCGCAAATGGCAAGATTTCACTCCTTGGAAGCAATATTCCATTGTATATATACACTGCATTTTCTTTATTCATTCATCATTCGATGGAGATCTAGGTTGCTTTCATGACTTGGCTATTATAAATAATGCTGCTATGAACATAGGGATGCATATATCTTTTCCAAATTAGTGTTTTGGGTTTCTTCGGATATACACCCAGAGTGGTATTGCTGAGTCATAGGGTAGCTCTAGTTTTGTCTTTTTGAGGAACCTCCATACTGTTTTCCACAGCGGCTGCACCAGTCTGCACTCCCACCAACAGTGCACGAGGGCTCCCTTTTCTCCACACCCTCGCCAGCTCTTGTTATTTCTTGATTTTTTTTATGATAACCATTCTGACAAGTGTGAGGTGATATCTCACTATGGTTTTGATTTGCATGTCCCTGATGATTAGTGACGCTGAGCATCTTTTCATATGTCTTGTATTTCTTTATCTTCTTTGGAGAAGTATCTTTTTGGGTCCCCTAACCACTTTTTATTGGATTGTTTGTGTTTTTGCTGCTAAACTGTATGAGTTCCATATATATTGGATATTAACCCCTTATTAGATGTATTATTGACAAATATCTTTTCCTATTCAGTTTTCTTTTTGTTGATAGTTTCCTTCACTATGCAGAAACTTTGTAATTTGATGTGGTCCCATTTGTTTATTTTTGTTTTGTTATTGTTGCCCTTGCCTAAGGAGACATATTCAAAAAGATATTGCTGAGGTCAGCATCAAAGAGTTTATTGCCTATGTTTTCTTCTAGAAGTTTTATAGTTTCAGGTGTTACATTTAAATCGTTAATCCATTTTGACTTATTTGTGTATGGTATAAGAAAGTGGTCCAGTTTCATTTTTTACATGTATCTGTCCAATTTTCTCAACACCACTACTGAAGAGACTGTCTTGACCCCATTGTGTACTGTTACCTCCTTTGTCATAGATTAATTGACCATATAAGTCAATTTATTTACTGGTGGATTTGTTTATTGAAAGATTTATTTCTGCGCTTTCTGTTCTATTCCATTGATCTATATATCTGTTTTTATGCCAATACCATACTGTTTTGATTATTGTAGCTTTGTAGTATATTTTGTAATCAGGGAGTATGATATTTCCTACTTTGTTCTTTCTCACAGTTTATTTGTTTATATGGAGTCTTTTAGGATTATTAGTTGTTCTAGTTCTGAGAAGACTGCCATTGGCATTTGAATAGGGATTGCACTTAATCTTTATATTGTTTTAGGTAGTAAGGACATTTTTACAATACTCATTCTTCCAATCCATGAGCAATGGTATATGCTTCATTTATTTGTATTCGCTTCAGGTTCCTTCTTCAATGTCTTACAGCTTTTAGAGTTACAGGTCTTTCACTTCTTTGGTTAAATTTATTCCTAGATATTTTATGCTTTCGATGCAATTGTAAATGGGATTATTTTCTTAATTTCTCCTATTAATCATTCATTATTGGTTTAAAGAAATAGAAATCAAAGTGCTTCAAGACTAGAAGGGAGCGGGGGGGGAGTTCATTTTAGCTGATTTGGACTGGAAGGTCTTTGGGTGAACTGTCAGGGCTAGCAATTGAGAGGTGTGCAGAATCTTGATGGACGGAAACTAGGGTGTGATACCTGGGTGGAGGAAACAGCCTGAGCAACAGCAAGCATCAGGAAAGACAAGTCCATCTAAGTCAGAGCAGGAGCTCAGTGTGCCTGAGGAAAGGGGCAGGAAGGGAGTTGTATGAAATAAAGATGAATAGCTTAGCTTTGAATGGCAAGCCAAGGACTGTAGGCTTTTTCCCTAGGATAGGGTTCTCCCTGTAGGAATGTGTTCAGTATCATCAAGAGAGTTTTTTCAAATGGGCTTTTTCAAGATAGTAGAAAACAGTTGAAATTTTTTGATCAAAGAAGCACTATGATCCATGTTGTATTTCAGAAATTAGCCAGGAAGGGTAGGTAGACTGCACTGGCTGGGAGAGAGACTGGTGACAAGTGGAGAAGACCATGAGGGCCTGAACTAGGATAGTGCTCATGAAACTGGAGAGGAGGGGATGATATAAGTGAGATTATACAGATAAAATTGATAGAATATCAGCGTCCAGAGAGAAGTACAAACTGCTAATAGTATTTTTAGCCTAGATGATGGGGAGGGTGAGTGCCATTATCAGAAACAGGGAGCTCTGGACGCAGAACTGATTCCGAAGGTAAATGATGAGTTCAGCTAGAGCACAGTCAAGGCAGCTGGATGCTGGGCTGCCACAAGCAGTTGTTACGCTGAGTTGCTGAACATGAAGGGTTAGTGTCCATGCTCCTGAGAATTCCACTTCTGCTGGGGACAGTCTTTTCCCCTCTGCTGTGGTTGCCTAGCATGTTCAGTAATCTCATAAACTGCTACTACTTTCTCACCCAGATATTTAGACATAAATTGGACAGCATAATTTATTTATTTTAAGATCTAAGTCCCTTGAAAAAATTAAATTGCAGTCTGCTAAAATCTTGTCTGTGAGGGCATCAGGCCCAAAACACAGATTGGGCTCTGTCTGCTGTATTATATAGGGCAAGCTATTTTTAAAGCTTATGATTGTTACCGTAACTAGGAAACAGACAGGAAATGAATGATTTTGTGAAAGATATAGATAGTAGCTAGATGGTGGTTTTGCATTTGTAGGAAAAGCAGTGCCATGCTAGAACTGGCCACCCACACTGGCAGAGCCTCCTTGGCACCTGGCCAGGCCGTAGACATTCACTGTCTTACTTGTGGACCATTTTGTTTACATCAGCAAAATTCTTGTGCTCCTCCCTCCCTAGGACTCTTTCCTCGGGGCCCATCAGGACGTGCACACACACACCAGACTAGCAGACAGAGATATGGTTCCTTTGTGGGTCATACTGCTTCATCCACATTTACTACAACACCATTTGTTGTCTCTAGAAGATGCTTCCTAACTGCCCGTATTGCTCATTCATTTCAGTCTCAATTGTGGCAGGTACTGTGCATCTCGTATATTTCACTTCTCCTTCCCTTCCAGAAGTCCTCAACTTAAAACTGTCCAGTAAAATCCTTTAGGGAGTTTGTGTTGAAATGTTGGTTTGGGGTTCCTCCAAAAAATGACACCTTTCTGAGACAGTCACCCAACTCTGAGCACTAACTGGGACCCCAGGTGACAAAGAGACTATATGGAGGACAGATGCACAAACCTTGTAGTGTCATTCTTTCTCTTTTGAGAGATTCTTTGGGAATCATGAATTTTTTATACACACACACATTTCAGTCACTTTTAACATTTTATTAGAGATAGTAATAACTGGATTTTCCAAGTTACCATCTTCATAGCTGGGTGGCAGAAGGGAACTGTGAGGCTAAACTGAAAATGCCGGTATAGTAAAGGTGTCTGTGTCTGCTTACAGTGTTAATAACCGCCTTACTATAGAGAGAGGTAGGACAGCCCCTAAGACCCGGCCTGAGAAGGATATACACCCAGCTCCTAACAGTGTTCACCTCTCAGGCTTGGCAAAGGGAGGAAATTGCACTTTTACTTCTGAATCTGAATTTTTAAATTTATAATTGGAAAAAATAAAACCAGTCAGACTCACACATGGAAAATTCAGAGAGGGATAAAGAAAAAAACCAACTTATCCATAATCCCACTACCCCAGAGATAAGAATATTTTGGCATATTTCCTGCGAGGGGGTTACAGATAGATGGGTAGTTGGGTAGGTGAGTGTAGGGTGGCTCAGTAAGTAGCTAGACTTTTTAATTTGTATCTTGCTTTACATAGTATAACATTATGAGCACTTTTCCCATATCATGAAATCTTTGAAATCATGAGTTTTATGTAACAACTGCCTAATGTATTGTATTAGATATACCTTTATTTAACTATGTACTCTCTTATTTTTGGACATCAGGTACTTACTTTTTTTTTTCTGCCTCCTATGTGCTTCAGGAGAGTATCTTTGTGTCTAACTCTTTGTCTATACTCTATTTCCTTCGGAGAAATTCCTAGTACTGGGGTTATCCAGTTCTTTTCTTCTTCACCTCATTGTTTATTTTAACTTGCCTTAAAGATGGTAAAAATGCTTTAAAAGAAAATGTTGTTTTATTCTGTTGCTTTAAAATGTTCTATTGCTATAAAGCATTCTCTTTTGTTAAGAAATAGTAATAGATACAATATATTGAGTACCTAAGGTTTAGTTAATCCTCCCAAACAACTTTACTTCCATTTTACAAGTGAAAAACATGGAACTTTATAGAAGTTAAACAACTTGCTAATAAGTGATAAAGCTGAGGTTTGAGCCCACAGCACCTCCTCAACATGCGCCAGACTCACTAGGCTCTCAGATACCAATTCAATAAGCCACAGTCGCAGCCTCCAAACTCAACTGGCTGCCGTCACAAAATACCACAGACTGGGTGGTGGCTTAAACAGCCCAAATGTATTTTTTTGTAGTCCAAGACCAATTTGATTTCTGGTGAGGGCTCTCTTCCTGGCTTACAGAGGATGACCTTCTCACTTTTCTTCGAGAGCTTTCTTGTGTTTCTTCTTGTAAGGACAACAGTCCTGTGGGATCAGGCCCCCACCCTTACGTAAACCTCTTTTAAGTACACGTCCACACAGGCCCCACCTCCAAATGCAGACACACTCAGGGTTAGGGGAGACATAAACATCTGGTCCTTAGTCTACCCATCTCCTGTGCTATGATCTTGTATTTTTGGTCAGTGCAGGCGCATGGTACCAGTTAGTGGTAGAGTCTCTCAGTTTGGCTCCTACATGTGTAGGTCTCTTACCAGAAGTGCAGTGACTGATTGAGTTTTCATGAAAGATAAAAACAATGTATTGGAAAATGTACATTTCACCCATGTTGTATTTGAATTCCTGTAATTTACGGTTAGCCTAGAGCAAAATACCGTATTTCTAGCAGCCTAAGTAGATCAGCCCAATGCTTTGGTCACAAAATCGTAGAGCTGAATTCGGGCTCTTGTTATATCAAGTGCCCTGGTAGCAGATTGACGGGAGGGGTGGCATGATGGCAGGAGCTGAACTCACAGCTGAAGATGTTCACCCCTGTGCGGCAGACCCCAGTGCTTTCTGATTCAGTTAGCAAACATCAGCGCAGAAACTATCGTTGTTTTCTACCTGTCCCAGAATGCAACTGAATTCAGCAAACGTTTTTTAATGAAAGACATAATTCCTCTTGTAGTTGAAGTTTAGATGAGGAGATAAATTTATAAGCAGATCATTTGAGGGGAAAAATTATAAATTTAGAGAGACTGAAAGGTTTTTTGAGTACTCAGAAAAAGGTAACTTTTCTCTGTAAAAGGAAAAAAAGGACCTGGTTCTAAGACTACTCCGCAAGAAGTATCTGATAGAATTTTGACATAGGCTATAAGTGTGAAGATAAATTACTTAATAACAGTCTGTCTCTGTTGCTTTATTTATTTCTAAGTCATCCGCAGCTATTCTTGGAAAATTGTATTAGCAGACAGTTAAGGAGCCTAGACGTATGAATATCAGCTCCCAAACAGCCAGCCATTCTTCCTACAAGAAAACTATTAAGTGTAGTCAAAAAAGGAAACCTTATCTGGGAAAGGGCCATGGGGACAATAAGAGTTGCTGGCCAGATTTCAGTGTTTTGCTGGTGCCACGGGGAGGATTGGTCTTAGTCTGGAAAGAAAGCCGCTCTTCCTTTTAAATGACCACTCCTCACTTGAAAACGCTTTAGCCACCTAATCCAAGTACTGGCTACAGCCCCAGAGCAGTTTTTATGGGATTACCGTCCCCTCCCCCAAGCAAACAAAGCTCTGAGTCACCCAAGGCTCCCTCTCCAAATAAAGGGCCTTGCAGTGCCTTCAGACTGGTTGCCATAAGAGGAAAGTTTCCTGTGTCTGGCACAGGGATGTCCCACGTCACCTCTCACACACATGCGCTTCGCCTGCTTCCAAAGGAAACAATAGCTCTACCCAGTGTATTTCAGGTGAAAGTACTGCTTAGAAGTCAGCGCCTCATGACTGGCTGTTCCTGAGCAGCTATTCATAAGAGAAAACAGATTGGTTTCCACGGGGGGATAGTTAAGGTAATAAGGTAAATAATTGCCGCCTCAGTGGGGCTTTTACCAGCCAGAAGAACAGGCAACCACAACTCCCCTTTGTCTGCTGTTTCTGCTGTGTTAGGTGGTTTGCTGGGCAGCTGCCTGGGAAGGCGAGAGTTCTCATCGGAGCTGCACTGTGCTCCCCCCGGTGGGTGAGAGCTGTGGGTGTTGTGTGTGTTGCTGTAGGAGAGGGTTCCGTGCAGCCGAGCAAGCTGCTCATTAGCCTCTGCAGGAATTCGGGGCCTGCGAGTCAGTTACTCTGTCATGTAAGGCTCTGGCTGTTTGCCAGTTGAATTTTTTTCAGTCCTTTTTGTGGTATCAGTCAATCTTTAAAGAATTCTTTTTCCCATTCCTCAGGCACATAGAACCAATTAAAGATCTAATCAGATGGGCAGGTACTTAAATTATAAACATAAAAGTATGTCTGGAACCTTGCAGTATGTTTTGTGGTTGAAAATATGAAGAATGCTGCTGACTACTCTTTTTTCTTAGCTCTGAGCCATGCTTTTTTTTTTTTTTTTTTTAAGTCTCATTTTCCCCCTCTTCATTTCCCTTATTTTAAAGAAATAACCGGTAGGCCTCAACTTAATATACCCCTATTCATCTGGAAACCGCTAAAAAAAGTTATTGATTGTAATCTCGATGACTCAGAGAAGCTTGGGAGGCAGTGCGGCTTGGTCACAGTGCGCTTCTGTCTCAGTGCTGCAGTTGACCTGCCTCTGCAAGCTGTTGTTATAATGCATATGTACGTTTTTAATATCTTACTTAATTTCTAAGTTGCCACAGTGTTGACGTTTCCCTTGCAGATTTTTTCTAACGTCTCAGCAGAGCAGCAACTGATAGTTTCCTCTCTCACTGACTTTTAGGTCAATGGCTGTCTGCTGGACCCTGTGCCTCCAGTCCTGGTGAGGAAGGGGTGCCAGTCCCTGCCCAGCAACATGATGGAGACCTCCATCGATGAAGGACTGGAGACAGAGGGAGAAGCTGAGGAAGACCCCAGCCAGGCCTTGGATGCATTCCAGTCCACACGCGGTGGGCAGAGACGGCACACTCTGTCGGAAGTGACCAATCAGCTGGTCATGGTGCCGGGGTCAGGTATGATATCCAGTGAGCTGCAGGTGAAGTCTGCACAGCATCAACTCACACTCCAGTCTCCAAGAAATAGTAATGATACCCACCAGTTCCTAGGATGTAGTCCATGATGGAGAATTTCCCCCGTGGAAATCAGTCTGCTTTTCCTTTATGGACACCATGCAGCAGCTGCAGAGCAGTAAATAAATCATCCCTGAGTTGGCTCCTTCACCCTCAGAATTCACCTGAGTGCATGTGACTCATCCAGGACCCTGGCACTTTGGGGTGGCAGAGATCTGGTGGGTACAGGTTCTGGAGTGTTCTCCCTACTAAATTGGAAGCTGATTAAATTAACGTGTAAAACAGTTCTGAAAAGATATGTTGGTTGGAGATTAAGGATGTCATAGCCGTGAGAACTCAAGCTGGCAGCGCTTTGTATCTCCTGTTCAAAGAGGATGCTGTTTACTATTCGTCATATCTTTTTTTTTCTCTCAAAGGGAAAGTTTTCTCCATGAGTGACAACCCCTCCCTTGACAGTGTGGACTCTGAGTACGACATGGGGTCTGTTCAGAGGGACCTGAACTTTCTAGAGGACAACCCTTCCCTTAAGGACATCATGTTAGCCAACCAGCCCTCACCTCGCATGACATCTCCCTTCATAAGCCTGCGACCGGCCAACCCAGCCATGCAGGCTCTGAGCTCCCAGAAAAGAGAGGTGCACAACAGGTCGCCAGTGAGCTTCAGAGAGGGCCGCAGGGCCTCGGATACCTCCCTCACCCAAGGTGACTGACTGCTTTCCCTTCTGGCTTTTAAAACTCAGCGGGTAGGATTTGAAGGGGTTTGTTGCCATGTTGGTACCATACCTGTGGTCACTAAGAGGCCTGTGTTTTATTTAAACTGGTCATTGCACTTTCTTCCAGGAATTGTAGCATTTAGACAACATCTTCAGAATCTGGCTAGAACCAAAGGAATCTTAGAGCTGAACAAAGTGCAGCTGCTGTATGAACAAATAGGCTCAGAGGCCCATCCCAGCCTGGCGTCAGCTGCTCCTCAGCTCCAAGACCTTGCCAGCAGGTGCCCTCAGGTGAGTGCTCTGGGCCCTTTCCGCAGTGGCTCGGCAAGTATGAGGAGTGAGTGAGATGTGTCATTTCACTGAGAGGGTTTACTCCAGTCCTGGAACAAACAGGTTATTTTGGAAAACTTCCCTTGCTGCTGTCACCTGCCACTGACAGGCTAGACCTGTCCGTGCTGGCCCCAGGTGTACCACATGAAGGCCTTGACAATGTGAAGCTGTGTTTGGTTCACACGGCAGATTTTATGTGAACTCCCCTCTCCCCAGGCATATACACAAAAATTAAGCATAATAAACTTTACCCAAATGAGAAGCTTATCACCACTACTTTTGATGTGCTATCACTTCATTAAATATTATAAATGGATTCTTTATGCTAAAGATATAAAAAACATTGCTATTTATCCAGTAAGTTTTATTTTGAGCCTATTTTTAGTGTATCGGGATATTGTAGCCTTCGGGGCCCATGTGAAGGTGATGGCTCCCGGTGACCAAGAGCCTTTGCCTCCATACTCACTACAAGATCCATGTATAGATTTTCTGCAAAATCATTAACCCTCAGCCTGCTGGTTGTGTAAAAAGCTTTGAGTATCATGTTTTACAGAGTTGCAGTTCCTCTTGGACATTTGCCAGGTGCTTAAACTAAAAGCTGCAACTCTCCCACATGGAGAATTGAAAATGCTTTCACCCTTGCTCCTCAGGAGGAAGCTGCTCAGCAGCAGGAAGTTGTTTCTGCGCTCCCCACCAGCGTGCATCCCCCGCTGTCCCAGCAGCAGAGCCTGGAGGCCCAGTACCTGCAGCACCGACTCCAGGTGGGCCCTTCCCCTTGCTGCTCCAGCCCTGCGGGGCCAGGATCGGCCTTTCTGCACAGCAGAAACCTGTTCTGCTTGTTCAGGTATTTTTTTAGGGTGGCGGCTTGATTCCTTATAGGGAGGTAGGTTTGACGGTCACTTCTAATTTCTGGAAACATGTTCAGACTTAGCTTTATGCTCTGTGTTGGCAGTGGATTTATCCTCAGGCCCAGGAAAGGATAACAGCGCAGCGTGGTCAGAAAGGGAGACACGGCCTCTTTGCTACTAATGGTATATATGCCTCATAATGAATAAGTAAGGTGGAAATCTCAAGTCTCTACATTTTCAGTATCAGCTGTCTACACTGGTGCCTAAAAATCTTAAAAGATGAATCATTTGTTCATTCAGCAGGTGCTGCAGCCTTTGTTATCGAGATTTGACGCCACTTTTCTCATTGTTTTTAATCTCCTCGAACCTCACAATCCCAGGGGACTTTTAGAAATGAAAACTGGAGTAGGTTAGAGCTGAGACAGCCCAGGCCTGCTGACCCAAAGCTCTGCTAGGGTCTCAGGGAGAAAGTATCATTGAAGCGTCATCAGTCCCTTCACCCTGCGTGGATTGTGGAGGACACCTTGGCTTCCTCCTCCAGGCAGTGACCCGCTCTGACAGCCGTGTCCTGGATGACAACACATTGTCACGCTCCTGTTGTCTTTCTCTTCCAGAAGCCCAGCCTTCTGTCAAAAGCCCAGAATACCTGTCAGCTCTATTGTAAGGAGCCACCGCGGAGCCTTGAACAGCAGCTGCAGGAGCACAGGTGAGAGCGTGCCTTTGGCCAAGGAAGTCACTTTCTTTTGTGGAAGACTTGAGAACGCTGGGTGTGTGGCCATTCTCCCTGGTGTTGCCTCTACTAGGAAAAGTTTTTTTCATTATTTTTAACCCTCACCCGGGGATGTTTTTAGATATTAGAGAGAGAGGAAGGGGAGAGAGAGACGAGCATCTCTCTCCGGTTGCCCCCAGTACGCACCCGACCGGGGATGTGCCCCGCCCGGGAATGGAACCCGCCCGGCCGGGGTGCAAGTCGGTTTGGCGCACGAGCCGCATCAGGACGCGGGGGCTAAAGTGGGCATCGCAGTGTCAGGGGCCGCGGCCTGTGGGGAGCGGCGGCCCCAACCGCGCTGTTTTCCTTTTCGTCTCACGTCCCCTGAGCTGTGGACAGACTAAGCTTTCAGAAGCAAGACCCACCACAGTTTAGCGGGTTGTTCTGCGGAAGAGGCTCCGTCCCGCCTCGGGCTCCTGCCCCGCGTCACTAGCAGGGGCGGGATGGAGTGACCGCGGCGACCGGACACGCCGAGGGCAGGCGCCCCCTCCCGGGACAGTCTCGGGGAGGCGAGCGGTGCTCACTGCTCACTGCGCGCTGAGGCCGTCAGAATTGGGGCACAGATAAGATCAGGTTTAAGAAAAGCGACACGATTCGTTCGACCCCCGCTTTTCTGTCCTGCCGCGGAAAGAGGTGAGAGGCCGGCGGCCCGTGGCCTGCTGGCTTCCCTCCGAAATCGCCACCCGAGGTGTGACGTTCTTTGGTTTTGCCACTCCAGGCTCCAGCAGAAGCGCCTCTTCCTCCAGAAGCAGTCCCAGCTGCAGGCCTATTTCAACCAGATGCAGATAGCGGAGCGCGCGTACCCGCAGCC